TGGATGTGGCGCAAGTGTGGCTGATTGTTGTCTGGATGTAGCACAAGTGTGGCTGAATGTTGTCCGTATGTGGTGCAAGTGTGGCTCATTGTTTATTTGATGTGGCGCAAATGGTGGTGATGGTTGATTGGGTGTGGTGCAAATGGTGCTGATGGTTGACTGGATGTGGTGCAAGGGTGGCTGATGGTTGACTGGATGTGGCACAAATGGTACTGATGGTTGACTGGATGTGGTGCAAGGGTAGGTGAGGGTTGTGTGGATATGGCGCAAGTGTGGCTGATGATTGTCTGAATGTGATGCAAGGGTGGCTGAAGGTGTCTGGATGCGGCGCAAGTGTGGCTGATGGTTGTGTGGATGTGGCGCAAGTGTGGCTGTTTGGCTGGATTGTATCTCTTAATGACATTTGCCTACGAGCCTATTTGCATAAGAGCCATTGAAGTATCACTTGTCACATTCTCATTTTGTGATGCCATTCACATATCTTTACTTTAAATGTTCTACTGACAACCATGTATAGAATAAAATAAAGCACTCAATAATTGTGTAAAGTGAGTCTCTCTTCCACAAGACTCGTACAAAAACAACAGACATTTACTTACATTGCCCATGACGATGGAAGACTTGTCTTTGATTATTTTCAGTGGGATGTGAGAGTTGATGGCAAAGTGATGAGTTGCCTGTTGGCCATTTTTGTTGGTGGCCACACACAAATACTTAACATCTTCATTGAAGGACTCGTCCACCTTCACAAAGATGGTATTGTACTTGGAGTATTTGGAATCGAATTCATGATTGAAACTAATTTATAGATAGAAGGAACATGAATCAATGTAGTTGCATGTGTGGGTTAATAATATCAAATGATTGAAACTTTTCAATCGCCCAATCAATTTTGCACCTTATCCTTTGCCCTTAAAAAAATGCCCCCCCCCTCCTACTTCCGAGGCTACTATGATATACCAAAACGAAACAACATATAACATTGATTTACTTAGATCTTTAAATAAGACACATTGAAAAAAGTCTGGAACATATGTCAGTATTCTTAAATAATAACAAAAAACAAACAACTACTTATACTATGATTACCTTAGAGGCTCTCGTTCCAGTTCAAATCGTGTGCCATCAGGGTTGACCTGAATTATGTCAACCTTCTCAACATCATCGCCAATAGCTTCACAGATGATGGGACAAATAGTGTTGATACTTAAGTTGGAAAGAAATATTCAACAGGATGACTAATCTTATTTGGTCATCAGTAAACTCTAACCCTAACCTAACAACAGGATGACTAAGCTTATTTGGTCATCAGTAAACTCTAACCCTAACCTAACAATAGGATGACTAAGCTTATTTGGTCATCAGTAAACTCTAACCCTATCCTAACAACAGGATGACTAATCGTATTTGGTCATCAGTAAACTCTAACCCTAACCTAACAACAGGATGACTAATCTTATTTGGTCATCAGTAAATTCTAACCCTAACCTAACAATAGGATGACTAAGCTTATTTGGTTATCAGTAAAATCTAACCCTAACCTAACAATAGGATGACTAAGCTTATTTGGTCATCAGTAAACTCTAACCCTATCCTAACAACAGGATGGCTAATCTTATTTGGTCATCAGTAAACTCTAACCCTAACCTAACAACAGGATGACTAATCTTATTTGGTCATCACTAAATTCTAACCCTAAACTAACAATAGGATGACTAATCTTATTTGGTTATCAGTAAACTCTAACCCTAACCTAACAATAGGATGACTAATCTTATTTGGTCATCAGTAAACTCTAACCCTAACAATAGGATGACTAATCTTATTTGGTCATCAGTAAACTCTAACCCTAACCTAACTATAGGATGACTAAGCTTATTTGGTCATCAGTAAATTCTAACCCTAACCTAACAACAGGATGACTAATCTTATTTGGTCATCAGTAAATTCTAACCCTAACTTAACAATAGGATGACTAATCTTATTTGGTCATCAGTAAACTCTAACCCTAACAATAGGATGACTAAGCTTATTTGGTCATCAGTAAATTCTAACCCTAACCTAACAACAGGATGACTAATCTTATTTGGTCATCAGTAAATTCTAACCCTAACTTAACAATAGGATGACTAATCTTATTTGGTCATCAGTAAACTCTAACCCTAACAATAGGATGACTAAGCTTATTTGGTTATCAGTAAACTCTAACCCTAACCTAACAATAGGATGACTAAGCTTATTTGGTTACCAGTAAACTCTAACCCTAACCTAACAATAGGATGACTAAGCTTATTTGGTTATCAGTAAACTCTAACCCTAACCTAACAATAGGATGACTAATCTTATTTGATTATCAGTAAATTCTAACCCTAACCTAACAATAGGATGACTAACCTTATTTGGTTATCAGTAAATTCTAACCCTAACCTAACAATAGGATGACTAATCTTATTTGGTTATCAGTAAACTCTAACCCTAACCTAACAATAGGATGACTAAGCTTATTATTTATCAGTAAATTCTAACCCTAACCTAACAATAGGATGACTAAGCTTATTTGGTTATCAGTAAACTCTAACCCTAACCTAACAATAGGATGACTAAGCTTATTTGGTCATCAGTAAAGTAAGTTAAACATCAAACATATTTTGTTTGGGACCTGAAGCCTCATAGTGGAGGTAACTTATGGCAGATTGGACCTGAAGCCCCATAGTCGATGTAACTTATGACAGATTGGACTTGAAGCCTCATACGCGAGGTAATTTACTGCATATTGGACCTGAAGCCTGATAGTGGAGGTTAACTTATGTCAGATTAGACCTGAAGCATCATAGTCGAGATAACTTATGGCGAAGTGGACCTGAGGCAACACAGTCGAGATAACTTATGGCAGATTGAACCTGAAGCCTACTATCGATCTTTTTCTCCCAATCTCTTGCTACAACTCCCTCTCTCCCACTATCGCTTTCTCACTGTCTCTCTTCCACTATCTCTCTCCCACACTATCTCCCCCAATCCAACCCTCTCTCTCACTTACAGTTTCTCTATCACACTTTCTCTTCTACTACTTCTCTCTTTCTCTCTCTCCCACTCTCTATCTATAAATGTCTATCTTTTTTCTCCCCATTTCTCTCCCATAGTCTCTCTCTCTCTCACGCTCTCTATCTCCTTTTTTCTAGCCCTATCTTTCTCTCTTGTTACTCTTCTCCCTTTCCCACTCCCTCTCTCTCCCGCTCTCTCTATCTCCTACTCTTCCTACCTTCTTTCTCAATAGAATATCATTTCTCTAAATTGAAGTATTACAGTAGCTATGACACTTTAATACATAAACATGTCCTCCAAAATGTCTAGGAAAGTAACACCCTCTCAAAAAAAAAAAAAAAAAAATAAAAAAAAAAATAAAAAAAAAAAAAAACAAAAAAAAAAAAAAAAAAAAAAAAAAAAAAAAAAAATAAAAAAAATTAAAAATATTCTTTAAAATAGAGAGATATTAAAAAGTAAAAAAAAAAAAAAAAAAAAAAAAAAAAAGAAAAAAGATATTGCAAATAAGATCATTAGTACGTCTTCTGTATTAAATCATTATTTATAAATTATTATTAATTCTTTTATTTAGCTTCTTTCTTAAAAAAAAAAAAAAAAAAAAAAAAAAAAAAAAAAAAAAAAAAAAAAAAAAAAAAATAAAAAATTTTTTTAAAATAAAATGAAATAAAAAAAAAAAAAAAAAAAAAAAAAAAAAAAAAAAAAAGAAAAAAGATATTGCAAATAAGATCATTAGTACGTCTTCTGTATTAAATCATTATTTATAAATTATTATTAATTCTTTTATTTAGCTTCTTTCTTTTTTTGGTGGTTGCGGCGTGCTGCTGTGCCCCCCTCCGGTGAGAAAATCACTTTTACCGGCATGTTTCTTTAGTGATGTCCTTGTCACCGGCCTGTTTGTGAGGTGGAATCCTTATGTGAATATAACCTGGGGGGAAGGGACCAGTCTGGTTGGATGGTCTCACATATACGTGGAAATATTCCTAGAGCAGAACAGTAAGAATAAAACGAATCTATTCATATATTCCTAAATTACAAAAAAACATAAAATAAAGCTAAATTAGAAATCATAAAATATTCTTAAGTTTAAAATCATAACATATTACTATATTAGAAATCATAAATTATTCCTAGACAAGAAATCATAAAATATATCTAAATGAAAAAAAATCATGACATTTTTCTTAATGAGAAGAAAGAAATATTTTTTTATATTAAAAAAATCATGAAATATTAATAGAAAATACATCACTGCAATATTTCTGGCTAACTAACTATGAAACATTCTTAGGGAAAAACTCGTGATATTTTGTCTTGACAAATAGATTGTTGAAGAGACTTTTGTATTAAAGTGTTCCTATCGAGCTGTTTATTGCGTTCATAAAATATATATAATCCTAGTTAGCTACTGGATTATTTTTTATGAATGGCTTACAAATCCATTTAATAAGAAAGAAATCCACAAGCGTGGATTATTGACCGTAAATTATTGGGATCTATGTATCCGTTTAATTCTACTGCTGTATGACTATTTAGATGTCTTTCAAAGTAGGACTATTTGCATGTCTTGTCTTCTTTAGTATGACTATTTAAATGTCTTGTTTTCCATAGTATGACTATTTAAATGTCTTGCCTTCCATAGTATGACTATTTAAATGTCTTGTCTTCCATAGTATGACTATTTAAATGTCTTGTCTTCCATAGTATGACTATTTAAATGTCTTGTCTTCCATAGTATGCTATTTAAATGTCTTGTCTTCCATAGTATGACTATTTAAATGTCTTGTCTTCCATAGTATGGCTATTTAAATGTCTTGTCTTCCATAGTATGACTATTTGCATGTCTTTTCTTCCATAGTATGACTATTTAAATTTCTTGTCTTCCATAGTATGACTATGCTCAGTGTTTGTGGTTTGATAGAAGTCCTTGTACTTACACTAATGAAAGATATAGCACTGCCCTCCATTATTTTATGGGATGAAATCATGACGATACCACTCTTCATTTGCTCAGACATCTTCATTCTTATGGTGGCCTCTGATGAATTGGCGTCAACTTTACTAAAAATATGCATAGAGAAATACGATATATGTTTAGACTAAATAAATAAGAAGGGCGTTTAAACTAGAGAAATAGGAGACGTGTTTAGACTAGAGAGTTAGGAGACTTTTGTAGACTACGTAAATAGAGGATGTGTTTAGACTAAAGAAATAGTAGTGGTGTTTAGACTAAAAAAATAGTAGTGGTGTTTAGATTTAATGAATAGGAGATGTGTTTATAGAAAAAGCAAAAAAAAAAATATATTTTGAAAATTTACATTAAATAACACAAGTTGGATTCCTGTCCCCAAGAGATTGATATTGAAAAGATAAATATGCCTTCGAAAGTAGGAAAAGTACTAATCCTTTCAATACAATACAGTGAAATTAATACTTACACAGTTAATTAACCAATCATAATACCAACACAAGTAATAAAGGATTCACAGAATCTTGTTAAGATGGCCAATGTTTTATTTGTCTAGTACTTGTTAAGATAAACAATGTTTTTATATCAACAAGTACTGGATAAGTGAAACATTTGCCATCTGGACAAGTACTGGACAAGGAAAATATTTGGCCATGTTAAGAAGAGCTGGACCAGTAAAAACTTAACCATCTTGGCAAGTACTAGATGAGCCATGAATCATCTACTTGTCCAAACACCGGTAAATGTTTATATATTAAATAATTTAAAATGTCCCATTTCATCCTTACACCACGGATGCAGCAGGGACTTATTTATTAAAGGATCTTACCTGTCCAGAAATTCGACAAACTTATTGGCATAATCTGCTAGAGGTCTCATCTCAAATTCTACGGTCTTTAAGTCCAGAAGGCTTACGAACACATCCGTTTGAATCTGGTTTCCATCTCGATTTCCTGGTTGTTTTGTTCTCATCTATGAAGTAAAACAAAAGAAAATAAGTTCATTTTGTAGCGTCAAATTATCTTATCTTAGCAAATGTCAGATTTGGAAACATGATACTATAGGGATACAAATACAAATGTCAGAATGACGATAAGATATCACGGGAATACACAATTAATAATATCAAAGACGGTCATGCTAAGGTAAAAGTGATGAGATTGAAAATGTAGAATATTTTGTGACCCTAATTTGTATTGTACTTTCTTAATTACATCAAAATGTCTGCTTATTACATCAAGATGTGTACTTATTACATCAAGATATGAAATTATTACATAAAAATGTTTATTAATTCTTTGTTTTTCTTAGCTACGTACCCTTGGTCGCAGTGACATACATTATGTTTAGCTTGCCCAGTGACCTATATGTACACTTGGTCTCAGTGACTTTATGTACACGTTGTCTCTGTGATTTACATGCACACCTCACCTCAGTGACGTATATGTACACCTTATCTCAGTGCCTTACATGTACTCCTGGCCTCAGTGACGTACATGTACACCTTGTCTCAGTTACGTAATGTACACATAGTCTCAGGGATGTACAAGTACACATTGTCTCATTGACATACACGTACATCTTGTCTCAGTTACGTAATGTACACATAGTCTCAGAGATGTACATGTACACATTGTCTCAGTGACATACACGTACATCTTGTCTCAGTTACGTAATGTACACATTGTCTCAGTGACATACACGTACATCTTGTCTCAGCGATGTATACCTAATGTATACCTAATCTCAGTGACGTATATACACACTTGGTCTCAGTGACGTATATGCACACTTGGTCTCAGTGACGTATATGCACACTTGGTCTCAGTGACGTATATGCACACTTGGTCTCAGTGACGTATATGCACACTTGGTCTCAGTGACGTATATGCACACTTGGTCTCGGTGACGAATATGCACACTTGGTCTCAGTGACGTACATATACTCCTGGCCTCAGTGACGTACATGTGCACTTGGTCTCAGTAACATACATGTACACATGGCCTCAGTGACGTACATGTACAACTGATCTCAGTGACGTACAGTTACATCTTGTTTCAGTGAAGTATATGTACACATTGTCTCAATGACCTATATGTACACTTGGTCTCAGGGACGTATTTGTACAACTGTTCTCAGTCATATATATGTACAACTCGTCTCAGTAACGTAAATAAACAACTTGTCTCATTGATGTATTTCGTTCAATCATTGGGGCCAACTGTAATCATGTGTCGGGACTTTGGTCAATCATGCTGGGCTAACTGTACACATGTGTCGGGACTTTGTTCAATCATGCTGGGCTAACTGTACTCATGTGTCGGGACTTTGTTCAATCATGCTGGGCTAACTGTACTCATGTGTCGGGACTTTGTTCAATCATGCTAGGCTAACTGTACACATGTGTCGGGACTTTGGTCAATCATGCTGGGCTAACTGTACACATGTGTCGGGACTTTGTTCAATCATGCTGGGCAAACTGTACTCATGTGTCGGGACTTTGTTCAATCATGCTGGGCCAACCATGCTTATGTGTTGGGACTTATGTCAATCATGCTGGGCCAACTGTATAGATATACTACCCTGAAGTAGGCGTCCTGTCCTATGTTGTAGACAACTTCTGATGTATTCATCTCTACCACTGGCATGGCGTCTTCAGACAAGACCTGATGTGCAGAATTCTCTCCCTCGATCCGAAATTGATAAGACAGCCAATTTCTTTGATAATAAAAACAGATGGAGACCATCAGATGGAGGTAAGCAGGTGGAGGCAATTAGGTGGGGGTCAAAGAAGGGGAGGTACGCAGGTGGAGACGAGTATATGGAGACAACTGTGTGTATATTATAACATTATTTAATTTCGTAATTGTGTTCATACCAGATCACTTATCTAACTTTGAACTAATGTTTTTGCCTGGGCACAACCAGTAGCTGACTAGTGGCTGATTAGTGGCTGACTAGTGGCTGACTAGTAGCTGAGTAGTTGATGAATAGTGGCTACCGAGTTACTGACCTGAAGCTGACCAGAAGCTGACCAGTAGCTTACAGTGCCTGACCTACAGCTGACCAGTAGCTGACCAATGACTGACCAGTAGCTACCATGTAGCCCACCCAAACAATAACACCTGTTCATCCTTGCCTTTGATCATTTAAATACAGTAAAAACTCAGTTTTGAGGCCCTCTCTTAAACGAATATACGACCGAAAAAAAATTCACCACTGCTTTGTACCATATAAACGACCTCTCTTAAACGACTTCCTCTAAATCGTGAACAGTGATTATTTCAGAAGTTTTCGCCCAGGGGGGCACTTCTGACTTTCAGGGGGGGGGGGGGGGGGTGAGTGAACAGTGATTATTTCAGAAGTTTTCGCCCAGGGGGGCACTTCTGACTTTCAGGGGGGGGGGGGCAGTGCTAGCAGTGCCAGTTGATTTATTGTTGGACATACTTTTGCTCAGGGGGGGGCACTTGAATTTCCCCGGGGGTGGGGGACCTTCAAATAATTCAATTTTACGACCTAGCACTTGAAAAGGTCAGACTCCAAAGCAGTGCTATATTTGGGCGCCTTAAGAAAACAGTTTCGTTAACAACTTTCAACAGCAAACGATGCACTCACACAGCTGCTAGGAAGTAGTGAAGGGGAAATAACTCTTGCGCCGTAAATTTGTCCTTTGAAAACAAAATTAAATACTTCAAGGAGCTGCCCAGATTTGACCTGAGTAGGCGCCTTTCAGACCTTGCCGACACCATGCCTGGTGTTCAAAGTGACATACTAAAAAACATGCATGGGTGGGGGGGGGGGGATAAGGAAAACAAGCATTAATAGAAGCCTTCTTTCAAAAAAAAAAACTTTTAAATGTTTAAAAAAAAATAATTACAAATGCCGACACCATGCCTGGTGTTCAAAGTGACATACTAAAAAACATGCATGGGTGGGGGGGGGGGGATAATGCAAACAAGCATTAATAGCAGCCTTCTTTCAAAAAAATAAACTGTTAAATGATTGAATAAAAATAATTACAACATTATTAATGCGCTTATCTTATACATAAATAGTTATAACCCTAAGCATGAACTCAGCACTTACACACGCTTTAAAACAACTACCTTACCAGCATTGATTATTTATTTTGGAATTAAGGAGGAACAGGAAGATAGTGACTGTATTGTTTGGGAGACAGAGTTTAATCTATATTTCTGAACGCTAGATGGTAGATTTCTGATATTGCCTATACTTAATGCTTGGTGTACTTTTTTGTATCTATTTTACTTGTTTACCTAATTTTGTAAATATGTTTTTTCAAAAATGCCCCACCTCTTTTTTAAGACCCCTCCAATTTAAGAGGTCGTTTTAATTTCAATTTAAAGGTCGTAAAACGGAGGTGTAACTGCATAAGTGGAATTTAGATAACTTCAATTTGGTCGACTTTATATACCATTGTAATGTAAGTGATATAGAGGTTTATTGGGGCTCAGTATACGGTCAACTTGATATAAAATTGTAATGTAAGTGATTGATGGGTTTATTGGGGCTCAGTATACTGTCGACTGCTTGAGCCACTCAAAGAAAATTATCAATTATAAATAAAGACGTAATGAGATGTGTTCCATTACCATTCTTAATTAACATAACATAACATTGTAATGTAAGTGATTGATGGGTTTATTGGGGCTCAGTATATGGTCGACTTGATGTAGCATTGTGATGTAAGTTATAGATGGTTTTATTAGGGTTCAGTATATCATCGACTTGAGAAAACATTGTAATGTAAGTGATCGATTACTTTTTTGGGGTTCAGTATGCTGTCTACTTGATATAGCATTGATATGTAAGGGATAAATTGGTTTATTGGCGTTCAGTATATGGTCGACTTGATATAGCTTTGTGATGTTAGTGATAGATGCTTTTATTAGGGTTCAGTATATGGCTATAGACGATCACAAAAGTTGACTCTGACTCAGAAGCTAGAGAGCCGTTTAGTGAGAAGAATTTAAATGGGACATGAGTTTGAGAGTACGTTAGTGAGTCGAGAATTAGAAAGAGCGCTAGTGAAGCGGAGTTAAGACACATAGAGAGCAGTTTACTGACAAAGAATTAAGAGAGTTCTTAATTTATATAGAGACACGATATAGAGAGTATTTTAGTGAGCCAGAATTAGGAAAAAAATAGTTAGAGTAGGTTTGTGAGAATGAGTTGGGGCTCAAGATTTAGAGGTTAGATTAGTCAAACATAGCTAGTGCTGAGAGCTAGAGACGATTAATTAGATAGATTTAAGACGCTAAGTTAGAGGTTATATCAGTTAGACAGATTAGGAAATTTAGATTTAGAAGTTAATTTAGTCAGGGCTAGAGATTATAATAGTCAGAGTTAAAGGTTTTATTAGTCAGACATAGCTTGGACTCACATGAGTTCAATAATGGGAAGTGACACACTTATAATGAAACATATTTGTACTTCAATAATTCCCTATTCATGCATTCCTTTGTTAAGTAATGTTGCCATAGATTGCTTCATTAAAAAAAAATTAACCTGTATATTAGCTAATTACATAATAATCATCTATAGATATCTTAATGATACAATCCTATGACTATAGATGATTTAAAGACAAATAGTTGATCTATAAATGACTCAATGACACCATAACACTTCCATTTATCTATACATTACTTCACATCACCCATATTTGCATATTGCTAACTTAATTAAAAAAGTCATAAACATATAAACCACTTAAGACTAGATCAATTATCTTTTATATTACTTAAAGACAAAATAATTGATCTATAGATACTATATGAAGTCATAACTTACATATAGATTGCTAAATGATATCATAATGTTTTTTATATTCTTACTTTTGGCACATCATTTTTCTATAGATTACTTAATGACAAATCATGCATCTATAGATTACTTAATGACACATTATGTATCCATATAATACTTAATGACAAATCATTTATCTATAGATTACTTAATGAAACATCATTTATCCTTAGATTACTTAATGACACATCATTTATCCATAGATTACTTAATGAAACATCCTTTATCCTTAGATTACTAAATACACATCGTTTATGTATAGATTACTTAATGACACATCATTTATCTATAGATTATTTAATGACACATAATTTATCTATAGATTAGTTAATGAAACATCATGTATCCATACAATATAATGTAAAAGTTATGTGGTGGGGTGGTTAATATACATTGCTGTTCTTTATATCAAAAATTGTATTTTATTATAATGACATGATTATGTCTCTTTTGATAAAAATTTATGTACAGCGCGGTGAGCCCAGCCCTAGGCTGGGGTACCGCGCTATATAAGACCTCTTATTATTATTATTATTATTATTATTATACTTAACGACACATCATTTATCTATAGCTTACTTAATAACACACCATGTATCCATAGATTACTTAATTACACATCATTTATCTATAGCTTACTTAATAACACATCATGTATCCATAGATTACTTAATTACACATCATTTATCTATAGCTTACTTAATAACACATCATGTATCCATAGATTACTTAATTACACATCATTTATCTATAGCTTACTTTATAACACATCATGTATTCATAGATTACTTAATTACACATCATTTATCTATAGCTTACTTAATAACACATCAAGTATTCATAGATTACTTAATTACACATCATTTATCTATAGCTTACTTAATAACACATCATGTATCCATAGATTACTTAATAACACATCATGTATCCATAGATTACTTAATAACACATCATATATCCATAGATTACTTAATAACACATCATGTATCCATAGATTACTTAATAACACACCATTTATCCATAGATTACTTAATAACACATGATTTATCTATAGCTTACTTAATAACACATCATGTATCCATAGATTACTTAATAACACATCATGTATCCATAGATTACTTAATAACACATCATGTATCCATAGATTACTTAATAACACATTATGTATCCATTGATTACTTAATAACACATCATGTATCCATAGATTACTTAATAACACACCATTTATCCATAGATTACTTAATAACACATCATTTATCTATAGCTTACTTAATAACACATCATTTTTCCCATAACTTACTTAATAACACATCATGTATCCATAGATAACTTAATAACACATCATGTATCCATAGATTACTTAATAACACACCATTTATCCATAGATTACTTAATAACACATCATGTATCCATAGATTACTTAATAGCACATCATGTATCCATAGATTACTTAATAACACATCATTTATCCATAGATTACTTAATAACACACCATTTATCCATAGATTACTTAATAACACACCATTTATCCATAGATTACTTAATAACACATCATTTATCCATAGATTACTTAATAACACACCATTTATCCATAGATTACTTAATAACACACCATTTATCCATATATTACTTAATAACACACCATTTATCCATAGATTACTTAATAACACATCATGTATCCATAGATTACTTAATAACACATCATATATCCATAGATTACTTAATAACACATCATGTATCCATAGATTACTTAATTACACATCATTTATCTATAGCTTACTTAATAACACATCATGTATCCATAGATTACTTAATTACA